TAAATTACACTAACCTTAACTCTAATTCTAACCTGACACTAACAACAATGACCAGAATTACTTTGTCGGTGAAATGAACTTGCCTGTGAATTAATAGTCGGTGAACTAAGTTGTCGGTGAAGTGATTGTCGGCGAAATGCGCACCACCCGAAAAAAATCACCTGGAAATTCAATGTTTAAGTATGTACATTTTCGAATTCTACCGACCTATAGAATTGTCGTTCCGAATATATAGTAGCAAAAGCACTAACATTATCGTGTTCTATACTGATTCAGCTAGCCGTTTAGGCAGCCTCTTAGCTTTTTAACTGGCTGATAAAACTATCGGCCAACTAATCATAATAACCAATACTAAAGCCAAATTTGCTAAAGGTATGTAAGTAGTTTTAAATGATTTTTATAAATTATTTTACTCTATTGATGTATAATTTTCCAAGAGCGTTCTCAAGTACCTCTCTCAATGAAAATTTGATGAAGAACCAAATTGACAGGTTTGTTGAGTTCATTGAGGGAGGTGCATGAAAACCCCTAAATCGACAATTTTTTATGCTAGATATTTCGTTAACCCTAAATTTAACAAAAATTTACATATTAAGAAACTCTATTTAATCGATATATCTAGCTTTAATCAGCATTGATCACAAGAAATTCTAGTAAAAATTACTGGAACTAAAAGGTCACTTCTATTGATTTTTCAGTTAAATCCAGTGATTTACTAGACTTAACTGAATGGAATCTGGAAGAATAATATGTAGCTTCCAGTGGTCGAATGTTGTGAACCTTTCAGGTAAAGATTTTTTATCATTAAAATAGAATTTCCAGTGATGTATAGTGACTTGCAGTGCTTCTGTTTTGGCTGATTCAAATAATTAATTGAAGTGATGAGTTGACCAGGGTGGAGCAGAGGTTGAATCCGGTATAAAATTTAAGCTCCAAGTCACATCCGTTTATAAGATCATTACTGAATCACAAATGAATTGTTTCTAATAACTTGAGTAACCTGTTGACACAGATGTCATGTAAGAATTGACCAATCTATACCAATACCACTAAAGCTTTAATAGCCCAAATCATCTAAGTCTAATGATCAGTAATTCAAATATAATTATCCAGTGTTGTCAATCCCGGTTCATAACCACTTTCCTATAAATAACTTGCTGTCTTATTATAACTTTGTTGACAGTGTCATTTCCTTGATACCTGCCGTATATTTCCGAAAATAAGCTACCTTTTTGCAAAAAATTACCCACAAATCGTAAGGATAGCTTATTTTTGAAACGGTAAGTTATTTTGAAAAATTGAAAAGTGCACTAATATAAAGTTGTCGAAATGATACCAAATTTTTACTATAAGTGTATTTGATTCTCTGAACAAATTTACTTAATACCGCTTTGGCTAGTGTTTCGATCCGTAATCCGACAATTCGAATTGATTCGATAATTCGGATTAAATACGGATATCCTAAACTGTAAAATTCGAATGCTACTGTAATTCACCGACAAGTTCACTTCACCGGCAGTTTATTTCACCAACAGCTCATTTCGCTGACAAGTTTTTTTTTATAAATTACACAAACCTTAACTCTAATTCCAACCTGACAATAACCAGAATTACTTTGTGAAATGAGCTGTCAGTGAAATAAACTGTCGGTGAAATGAGCTGTCGGTGAATTACAGCTGTTTTCATAAATTCTGACAGCTAAAAAATTTTCTGATGACCGAATTGATAAGTTACCGAGCTGGAATACTGACGTCGGCCGACATCAAAAACTTAACGATTCGGTCATAGGCAATAAAGAGGATCCAAATTCAATCCGAAGAATAGGATCGAAACACTACGTATTAGATATTTAATCACTACGTAGGATTCCCACTATTGAATCCGAATTGAATCCGAATTAAAATTCGAATAAACCGGATATGTTGAATAGGATCCGAATTTAATCCGAATGGCCTTTTGAAAATAGGATCGAAACACTAAAATTTCATAACAGTAAAAAGGTTTAGCTTTACCAATTATGAACCGTACTTTAGGATCTGCTTTACATATTCTAGGTATAACAGCGACAAGTAAGTCCATACCTTTTCTATATACTAGTCGACTTGCTACAACTATGGTGACTTAAATAATTATGTTAAGAAAAATATATGTAATTATTAAGTAATGTAATTTTAATAGTGAGTAATTAGAAACAGTTATTTAAAAGAAAATACCGAACTAAAATTTTTATCTTGTGCACTGGGATCCGGCTTAAATTGTGATGCAACCACAGCATTAGGGATGACTGATACCATTTGAGGAGTCAAAGCTGCTCTTAAAACTGTATTTTCCTTACTGTTTTAAATCCAATTAATGTTAAATAAATAACGTGAATTAAATATATATATATGCTTTTGAAAAGTCATTATTCACAAACCTTGTATTACTAACACAAATAACATGATCAATATCACTAAGGGTAAATTTCAACACTTTATTCATCAGAATACTACTCGCATCCGCAAATCCGAATAAACTATGATCAGTAAAACAAGCTCTCATTCCCATTGTACGAGCATGTAATATTGCTTCGTGACATAACGATGAAAACGCTTGATGACCGTGAACAATATTAATTCTTTCACGGAGAACAATATTTCGAAAGATTGGAAAGAATCCATATATTGTTGGTAATGTTGCTTCTGAATAGATAACCATATGTGGTACATAATATACCTTTAAACCGTTGGTTAGATAACGAACACCAGTACGGTTTCCGTAAGAGTGGGTAATTATTATGACCTAAAAGAAAATAATTGTTAATTGAATTCGAATTTCGAATAGGAAATGTAATTTTAACATAAGTATCGCACCTTATGTCCACGCTGGGTTAACATAAGTGATAATTGGTATAAGTGACCCTCTACTCCACCCATGTTTGGATAGAAGAAGTCCGATACCATTCTTTTTATAAAAAAAATATTTATTAATGTATTTTATAAATTTATTCTTTGATTAATTTCATAAAAACTCACGCAATATTATACATTATCGTTATTTTCAAAGATACATCGAGTTAATTTTTTAGGTTCTAAAAATTACCCCAAATTATACCTAAATTCATGATCACATGGTATTTACCTATTTGTACTGTACCACATTTAACCGTTAATGACGTATACCGTATTCCATATTGGTTCATAAGAGATCTGATTGGTTACTACATTTATAAAATTTCTCAAATCCTATGGACGCGTCATGGATTTTTATCAAGCAAACGCAATCGAAAATTAGACATTATCGTTCGAAAATGAAACAAAGAGATAGGAAGATAATTTTGCATTCCATTGAAAAAGACCTTGAAGCTGTAGGATGATATGATCAAAAAGAAAAAGCTCGACAACTGGAAGATATATTCATTTAGTAGAATGGATTAAGTGGTCGATTTGAACAGCGTGTTCGACGCTAAGTGCAAGCTTGGACTGCGCGTCTCCATTTATGAACTGCGTATTCGACGCTTAGTGCAAGCTAGGACTGCGTGTCTTACAAGGAGATCTTTTACTCTGACGTTCTTTTTGTTTTATATTGTTGTTTTGCTATTGCGTAAGATCTTGCTTTTTCTAATTCTTGTATTTTATTTCGCTAAGAAATGGACCACACTGATAAAGAACTTGAAACACGATTGTGAATCGAGCATCTGCAAGTAAAGCAGATAAATCAACTTGCAAACGGCAGTGGCGCGACATATAATGATAATCGTATAACTTCAGGATGAACTATATGCGTTGTGATCTAGCGTAGTAGTTGGACCCGTCTGAAAAATCATGACCCGGGAAACCTGGGTGGATAAACGGGTCTACCGGATCGTCGGGTGACCCAACTAACCCGGTAGATAATTTAAAAATCTCGAGCTAGTGTTCCAAATCGAAAATCGAATAGTTAATCGAGTTGACAACTAATTGATTGTTAATCGATTAATTGACTAATCGACTAGTTGTTTCATTTTTTGATCTGTTAATTAGTGGCTACGCAATTATATCCAAGCCATTTCGATATACGATTATGGCGGTTTGCAAAACGGTGTGACTCTGTGATTTCGTGATGATGATAGCGGAAAATTTCAGATTTTAATTCCCTATTGATCATAATTTTTTCAATCAATAACGTCTATATTTTATTCGAAATCTTTAAAATTTTCCAAGAATCGGTTGATTTCTTGTGATTTACATGACATTATTATCTGCAGAGGTCAACTTTTTTTGCAAACTGTCATAATTGACTAATCGATTAGTTGGCTATAATCGATTTTTAATCGGTTTTTAAAAAATTTTTGGCCAACTAATCGATTGCATTTTTTGGTTCGATTTGTAACACTAAACCACAGCCTGTTACGCATTTTCGAGTTGCATTTCTTAATTTACAAATAATATATTGATTAATAATTGACATAAATTGAAAAATGACGCGGAAACACAGCCACAATGTACATAAAGTTTAAGGCATCGCAGAGGTATAATGGCCTAGCTCAATTAATATCAATTAATCTTAATAAATTACACGAGTCAAAACGATACATAATCGATGTAATTAACGGGTTGACCCAACGGGCAGGTTGACCTGCCGGGTTGACATAACTGTAACCCGCGAGTGACGCCTATTCGGGTCCAACCACTAACTGGCCTTGTCCCTACTCTACATTTACAAGTTTTGAATATAGACGAGTCCTTAATTCGAATCCATATAAAATTACGCAACCCGTTTTAACGGATTCACTTTTAAACACTTTATATAAAGCAACAAATAACTTTTCACTTGGTCTAAGCTATGACTTTATTTTAAATAATGATGAATTTGGAGGAAAAGCTAGTCGTATATTTAATTACATGTAAGTCATTGTATTGCAAAAACCAAGGAAGTATTTATTGGAATAATTTTAATTTTATTGTTTTTTTGTTTTAGTAAAGATGAGCTTCCATTATCGTCGAAACAAAAAGAAACCGAAAATAAACACTATATATTACGTAGATCCGTTTATAAAAGTTATCTTTGGTGGTGAATACACGTCTTACAGTCTGAATTAAACAAAAGTGTAAATGGAAAACAAAGACCGGATTTTAGCTGTGTAGTTGATGACATTGCGATGTTAAATTCTGAGATTAAGCCTTTGAGGTACACTCAGTTGAGGAAAAATCAAGACTTCGTAAAGTACATCTTAAAGGAAAGGCTTCAATTAACAAATTATTAGAAAAGGGAGTCAGTGGCTTTTTTAAATATGGGTGCGGTATATATCTGTTCTAATTATATATTGATATTTTGCAATATATTATTAACAAAATTCATTCGATATAGGGGATACCATAGAATCGTTTTAGCATATGACGGTGTATATAGATCATGGCCATGTCTTAGGGTGTTCTCAAGAACCTTAATCAGTCGGAACGGGTCTGAGGGTAAATTTTAACGAATCAATTGTATTGATTATTCAAATGCTGCAATGAATAAAATAGTTTAATACGTCAGAAAGAAAGATTTTATTAGCGAAGTTCGTTTAACCGACCAAGAATATTTACCATTCCAATCAATAAGAGATAGAGGCCCAGACGTCCTTTTTTTGTCATAGAGCTGCGTTGAAAAATAATTGTTCAAGTATCTTTTTACATTATTATCGTTATTGTTATGGATCTTCAAAATCATTATCAACGTCGACGAATTATTATTATCTAATTACTTATGCTAAAAATATTCGCCACAAATAAAAAAGGCACGTTTTTGTGTTCTGTTGGTTCGTAGTAAATTCTGAAAAAGAAGTAACAGAATTTGGAAGTGTCGTAGTTCTTTATCCTTACGTTGATCCATCATTTTCATTAATTTATTTTTTTTATTTTTTTATAATTGCTAAATGGTAGTAATGATAAAGACGTTTGCTCAAGCATCAATCGCAATCAATATTTTAATTAATCATAATACTTGAACACCAACACGATCATAAATTAATCCATTGTGGAAGATACATGAACATATTTCAATAATATCATCGTCTTCAACATCATACTATCGGTTCTCAAAGAATGGTCTAATTAATAATGCCATAATGGTTGAGCATTATTTCAATCAATAGCAAATCACGTCGAGCGTGCTGCTTGAGGACAGCACCCTTAGATTGCCAGTTTATTGTATAAGTTATAATGCATATAATATTTTGCAATAAAAGCGGATTTTTTCGCATATACAGTATACAATTTTACTTTTGCATAATAATCACGAATTTTATTACATACATCGATACCTACAAATAATGAACTCTCATTATAGTGAAGATTCAATATAGTGAAGAATTTTTGAATTCCGGAATTATTAAGCTTTAACTCGACATAGTGAAGTACATATACTGTAGTATTCTCGATATAAGCTATAGTGAAGATCTTTTTTTTCTGCCCGGGGACTTCACTATAACGAGAGTAATGTTGTTTCAATAACTTTATTGATGAGTAAAAATATTTTTAACAGCAAATTACAATGTAAATGTTGGCCAAAATAACGAATAGATAGAAGCGCAGGAGAATGAGACGAAGGCGGAGGAATAAAGCATGAAATAATTCCTGTTAACTTTTTTAATGTACGATTTATACCTTAAGAATAAATTATATATAAATTTCATTAATACAAATAAATATGTGAATAAAAAAAATTATATTCATTTTTTTCTAACCATTAGATTTTGATCTCAAAATTTTAATTTCAGTTACCTTTGTTCCACTTCGCGCTTATCTAATTTAAAAGAATAAAAAACTTAATCTATATAAAGTTTGTTCTGTATTCTATTTTTGCTATACGTACAAGTAGTCAAGGACCGGTTTTTTTAACCGTATATATGATCCTCGGTTTCCGGTCTTTTAACCAGTTCAGACCGGTCAAGAATAAACTATTAAAATAAGCTTTTTAGATAGTTAAAAAAAGGCTATAAATAAACCTTTAATAGTTAAAAACCATTATCGATATTTAATGCGCATATTATGCCGGATCGTAATCCTGGACACGATCTTCCCCAGCATCGCCACCAATTTTTTCGATCACGTGATACCGGGCAAAATTTTTTAAGTTCGTTAATGTTAGGGTTAGGGTCTACGACAAGATTAGGGTGAGGTTTTATAGTAAAATTGTTCAAGGAATTTTTTTTGTTAGAGCACGAAAGGTTGTTTCTTATGTAAAATTTCAAGCTATTGACGATTTTTGAAAAAGCAAACGTTTGTTTTGATCTTTCTGATTGTGCTATGTTACACCAAGGTGTGATTCACTATTGGATAATTTTCACGTGATCGAAAAACTTTGTAAACAATTTGGTGGCGATGCTGGGGAAGTTCGGACACGTACCAGAGCACGTGATTTTGTATGTACCAAATATCACGTGACACCCACGTACGTAAGCTATTTTTTTTAATTTTGAACAAAATTTCTTGGCAACTATTTGATAGAGAATTAGTAAAATTCATTTAAAAAAGTTTCATCGAATTTTATCACTAGTCAAAAGCTGGCAAATCAGATACAAATCAGGTATACTGTATTTAAAACTGATAACTACCCGATTGTTGTCAATTTTTAAATTTGGCAGCCCGATTGATGCCAATTTATGGTGCAAATCGGCATACAATCTGGACAAAATTAAACATTAGCCAGATATTAATCAGGCATTAGTCAATAAATAGATCAACCTAAAAACATGTATGCATAAGTTTGTACTTGATATCATGCTCAATGTTTTAGTGTATAGCATGGTTGGGTAATTAAAATTCTAATTGAGAGATTGAAGCTCTAAGTAGGGAATTAAAACTTCAATTGAGGAACTAAAGCTCCAAGCGAAGAATTAAACTCATACGAATTAAAGATATAAATGATTATTGAAATTAGTATTGATTTATATTAATAAAGAGGGACTCTA